GGGGCCACGGTCATCTGAGGGAAAACTCTATGGTTTTCCCTCGGATGGTCGTGGCCCCGCCCCCAGCTTGCCCGGCGTGGTCGCATCACTTCCGAGTGACGTGCACTCCAGCCGCCAGCTGGGAGTCTCCCGCTCCGGTGAAAATCAGACTTGGCAACCCTAATCTGTGGAGACCGCCGTCTTCTCTGTGGGTACCCCGGTTTTGCTGTGTAAGAGTCAGCCACCTTTCTAAGAAGATGATAAAGTACAATAATAAGAAAAAAAAATTAATAAATCTCTGAGACAGGGAAAGACAACCCAGCACGACACTTTTCCAGCTGGTGAAATCCCAAAGCCTGGCAAGGAACACATGAGAGGCATGTATTGAGATGTGGAGGAGTGGTCTATCAGTGGCTATTAGCCACAGTGGCTAAAGGGAACCTCTGCATTCAGAGGCAGTCAACCACTGAACCCAGGGCCAGGAGGCAGCACCAAGGGAAGGCCTCAGCCTGTATGTCCTGTTGTTGGCCCTCCATAGTAACTGGTTGGCCACTGTGTCAGACAGTATATTGGACGAGATGGAACATTGTTCTGATCCACCAGGACTCTTCTTATGTTCATATGACTTCCACTGTCTAATCCACCTTGAATCTTGGTGAGAAAGGTGGAGTATAAATAATGTGGACATACAAATAAATAAAAGCTTGCCGAGTGCTTTTGGGCCAGTCACAAATTCCTTCTCAGCGTAATCTACCTCACAGGGTTGTTGTGAGGAGGACCGCAGGGGAGGGGAGAACAACACTGTAAGCCACTTCATGTTCCAAAGGACGAGAAAAGCAGGGTATAAATATCAAAGTCAACAACTGAATGGATTTGTTTTCTGCCTAGGGTCTCAGAGAGAAAGGCGGGCTACAAATGAACAGAATATAAAAGTCTGCCTCAGCCCATCTCCTCCTACGGAGATCCCACCAAGTCTGCCCAACCAACTTCAAGCTTTTCTTTCACAAGCTTTAGAACCATAAAGCCAAAGATGGAAGACAACAGATCACACCAGTGAGGCCCTAGGTAGTTTCAAGTCCCAAGACAGAGGCCAACTCTTTTATGTGATCCATTGACAGACTTCGGCTCCAAATCCTGAGGTAAAAAATCATACTAAACGGACTCTTCGAACTGCTGGAAACCAGATCTCCCCTTTCTGCTTAAGGATGTGGAAGCGACAGTTTTTCTGTGTTCTTTCCAGTGAGGTAGATGGGGAGGGCCAGTTGGCTGAGGGGCGGCCATTTTGTGAAGTCTTTGCCTCGAAGCTCTTCCAAGCAAAGACAGGCAGGAGAGGCAAATAAGGTTCTCTCTCCATATCCTTGTTGTTTCTTCAGAGCACCTGCTCTTCTGAAGGAGAAGCCGCACAAGAACACCCTTCCCTCACGTTCCTCAGGAGTTCAGCGTCGGTGAAGAGCTGGAAGGCGATCTCCTCACATTCACTGGAAGCTCCACATTCGAACAAGCAGCCAAAGAGCAGCGAGCGCCCATCCTCGCAGACGGCCAGGTCCGAGTAGCCGCAAGGCCCTTCGTACAGCATCCAGGGAGACTTCCAGCAACCTTTGTCAAGCGGAGACGTGTTGATGTAGATGCCCAAATTTACTCGTCTGCACCTGTTTGTGGGGTGGGAGAAAACCAGCCAAGACTGGCTGGTCTCAGCGGAGGCCGAGGGGAAATGAATGCCCACCAGGTGAGTCGATTCCCCTGCATTTTTTATTCGGCCCAGCTCCGTGGGCTTCAGAGTTGGAGTGAAGCTCACGACACTGCCCTGGCAGCCCTTGGGCGGCTCGCAGAGTTCCTTGCATAGGAAAGATTCCTCAAATCGGTCTCCGTGGTCCAGGCTGAAGGCCTCGACGCGGCTCTTGTCCGGACTGCGAGCGCTGCAGTACAGAACTTGGTTTTCCCCCTGGCAGGTGACTTCTGCGACTTGGCACTCTGTTGTCCTCAGGTTCTTGAGGAGTTGGCCTTGGACCCATTTCTGCCCAAGGTCATCACTATAGAAGAGGAAGCAATGTGGCTTAGTCCAGCACAGGAGAGAATGGCCAAAGCAACGTTTGTGGATGTAATAGGTGTAAGCTGGAATCACCAGGCGCCCCGAGCTTGTCTGCAATCCGTGGCCAGGCCCGACGGCAAAGGTGGCCCAATTTCTCAAGTCCTCTCCAATCACCTGATCGGTCAAATCAGTCAACTGGCTCCATGTACGTCCACCATCTTGGCTCGAGACGTAGCACAGCCTGGCGGCGTTCCTCCCCGACCTGATCTGCTGCCATTCCGTGACGTGTGTCCGTACGCAGATAAAGAACAGGAAAACTCTGCCCCTCTTCTTCTCATACACGGGGCAAGGGTTCATGGTGCGGTGGCCGGGCAAAATGGCGGTCGTCAGGGGCTCTTGAGGGCCCCACTGGAGAAGAGACAGAAAGGATCAAATTGTCAGCTGTAAGTTCCTCTTTTGATCTAATAAAAGACTTATGTACATTATACAGAATCACAGAATCATAGAGTTGGAAGGGACCTCCAGGGTCATCTAGTCCAACCCTCTGCTGAAAGCAGGAAATTCACAGCTACCTCCCCCCCACACTCCCTCAGTTACCCCTGCTCTGTGCCCAGTGGAAGGCAAAAATCCTCCAGGATCCCTGGGCCAATCTGACCTGGAGGTAGATTTCTTCCTGACCCCAAAGTGGCAATCGACATTACCCTGGACATATAAGAAAGCGCCACAAGAGCCGAGGACTGGTATCCCTTCCTACCTTTCCTCTCACTCTCTGCCTAAATTCATGAGTCACAGAACCAGCATTGCTGTCAGAGGGCCATCTAGCCTCTACTGAGAAACTTCCAAAGAAAGAGAGCCCACCGCCTTCTGAGGAAGCCTGTTCCATTGCGGAACCACTCTAACCATCAGGATATTCTTCCTGATCTTAGTCTCAACTTCCCTACAGGGGAGTTTGCCGTAACTGCAAGTTTTGCAGCGGCTTCAGGTCCTGGTTTGATTTCATCTTGGAACTTTAGGAGATTTGTATACGTAGCAATGAAAACATATAGAGCAGCTACCCATCTTAATCTAGCAGCAAAACATCCCTCTAATTTACAACCTCCCTTGTTGTGCCTTGTTAAGTTAAATAGGCTCCAGAGGGTTGACACAGAATTGAATCCTGCCTCCTTTATACGGAGCTATAAAAAAAAAGATCTTTATGTTGCTAGCGCACGGGTCCCAGAATGAGCCAGTTCCTGATTTTTTATAGGAGAGTATGCGGCTGTCTTTCAGGTTTTGTATAGCTGACATTTCTCTAGTCCTATAGATTTTAACTGTGAAGAGATCAGGGTTGGTTGGAGGATTTGAGCTTCTTTAAAGCAATGAGTATCGCCACTTTGAGAGTACTGTGCTTTCAGTGGTGGCATAGTCGGTGGAAATGTAATATTTTACTCATTTATTAAATATTTTTTATCCTACCTTTCTTCCAAAAAGTATCGGGCAAGCCTTGTCCCCAACTCCATTTTGTTGTCACAAGAACTTTGTGAGGTAGGTCAGATGGAGCAATTGGTCCAAAACCACCCAGTTTAGTTCATCGCCAGGTAAGGATTTGAACTAGGGTCTCTCCAATCTCATTCTGGTGTCCCTATACCACACTGACTTTAGAGAAGGTTTCTCCATAATGTTTTCCTGTGCTGAGGAAAGCTGAATGTACCAAATTTCTGTCAAAGGGAAGGCACAGCGACTGTTCCAGGAAAAATAGTGATAAATACTAAGACCTCCTTCAGTCAGAGATGCTTTTGCTAGAACATGCAGCTCTGTCTCAGGGGAAAGGAGAAACACTGCACCAAAGGCGCACATAGGAGTCTTTTTCAATCCCAATGTGTATGCTAGACACAGACGACCTTGACTTGGTCCACTTGGGCTCTTCAGGTTGCAATTTACACTGAGGACTTCTTAAGGAGATGAGAAGTGGTCGGTCCACAATTGGGTCTCCTGTTGTTTACTCAAATCAGGACGCCAATTTGGAGCAGGGAAGAGGGGTTAAACCTATTGCAGACTCTCACTCATAAGAACTGTTGGATCAGACCAGTGGCCCATGGAGTCCAGCATCCTGTCTCACACAACAGTCAACCAGTTCCTCTGGAGGGCCAACAACAGGGCCTGGAGTCTGAGACCTTCCCATAATATTGCCTCCTTGTTCTGGAATTTGGAGGTTTAGTGCCTCTGAATGTGGAGGCTCACCTCAGGCACCATGGCTAGTAGTCCCTGACAGGCCTATTCCTTTGGCCATCACTACTTCCACTAATTCCACATTTTAACATAGAGTTTGCCTTTTTCACTGCTGCAGTACATTGGCTCATGCTTTCATTGAGCTATCCACTACAATCCCAAGACCTTAGTCCATCTGCCACTCGTAGTCCATCTGCCACTCATTCCCCCCCCCCTTTCTTGAGGTTCCAGCTCCATGCACTAAGGCTGCTAGGAGTAAAATCCAGTCAAGAAATTTACTCCTTTGCTTTTAATCTCAAAATAAACATTGGTCATTGCCACCACCACTAGAATCTTATTTGGTTGGGTTGAATAAACAGTGGACTCATACCAGTATGGAACCAGGGTGCTGCTGGTCAGCTCCTGTATTCATCTAGCCGGAACATAAATGGAGCGAGAGAGACGGAGAGAGATGAGGGTTGCCTTTCCCCCCATTCCCCCCCCTTTTTCCTGTCCTTGCTATCCATTCAGCACCTCTTTTTAAAGTAAGTAAAGCCAGTTAGTGACCAAACAGGGTAGATGGGTCCCCCCCCCCCATTCCTTACCAGTGCTTAGAACTGGTATATGGCAACGATCCCCCAAAAGGGAATGGTACTGGGGAATTGCTTGACCAATGAAGAAGGCCACCTTGGGTTTGTCCCCCCCCACAACTCCATTTTGTCATCTCTATGGAGACTACATCATCTTCTGTCAATCCAGACAGAGAGGCCTCACTGTACCTCAGATGCCTACCATCTCCCCTCCTGACAACATCCTCTTTCCTAGGCTGCAGAATGTCTACCTTGTGCTTTCTGCTTTGTGCTGTGAAACATTCTGAGTCAGTTGTAGACAGAGCTTGTTCAAAATGTTTTGCCACACAGAGCCAGTGAGGTGTGCCCACCCATTACAGGACAAGGTCTAGCCCCAGGAGTCCTAGCAGAAGCACAAGGCCTGGGAAGCAGTGGCTCAGGTTGGTTATAGGCGATGTCTGGTGTCAGCTGAGAGGAATCAAGTACCTGAAAGTTTAGTTACATATGAAGTAAAGGGCCAGTGACCAAAAACTATAATTATAACTTAAATATTGTTAAAAATACATGTATTTATTATCAATTAGTTAAAAACAATTATGGGCCCCAATTGTAGCCTAAATACAGAATAAAAGTGTGCAATATACACACATGGGACCTATTACAACCAGACGTGTTTCAGCCAAGGTGGCCTTCTTCATTGGTCAAGCAATATTTGTACATATAGGCTCATTGATACAATAAGAAGACAATAAGTTAATCAACGTAGAACCAAAAAAGGAGTTTTATAGTTACAATCAATTGACACAGGGCCTGAGAATATTGGTGAGGCCTCATAGAGTATTGCCTTGAGTCATGATCTGGTATATATGTCCTAAGTAGTATTACTGTTGTAAGCCTTCCTATTTTGGTCCAGAAGATACAGTCAAATCACTGCCACAGGAAGTGGTGGCGGCTACAAGCACGGACGGCTTCAAAAGGGAATTAGATAAGCACAAGTAAGGCGACCCGCGATACTCGCGGGGGGGGGAGAAGAGCTCCATCTCCTCCATCCCCCCCCGCTCGATCTCCCCGAGGTGGCGGCGAGGCCGGGAAAGGAGTTTGTAAGCTGCTCTGAGACTCCTTTGGGTAGTGAAGGGCGGGGTATAAATCCAGTCTCCTCCTCTTCTTCTTTTACCTCACAGGGTGTCTGTTGTGGGGAGGGGAAGGGAAAGGAGTTTGTAAGCTGCTCTGAGACTCCTTTGGGTAGTGAAGGGCGGGGTATAAATCCAGTCTCCTCCTCTTCTTCTTTTACCTCACAGGGTGTCTGTTGTGGGGAGGGGAAGGGAAAGGAGTTTGTAAGCTGCTCTGAGACTCCTTTGGGTAGTGAAGGGCGGGGTATAAATCCAGTCTCCTCCTCTTCTTCTTTTACCTCACAGGGTGTCTGTTGTGGGGAGGGGAAGGGAAAGGAGTTTGTAAGCTGCTCTGAGACTCCTTTGGGTAGTGAAGGGCGGGGTATAAATCCAATCTCTTCTTCTTCTTCTTTTACCTCACAGGTTGTCTGTTGTGGGGAGGGGGAGGGAAAGGAGTTTGTAAGCTGCTCTGAGACTCCTTTGGATAGTGAAGGGCGGGGTATAAATCCAATCTCTTGTTCTTCTTCTTTTACCTCACAGGTTGTCTGTTGTGGGGAGGGGAAGGGAAAGGAGTTTGTGAGCCGCTCTGAGACTCCTTTGGATAGTGAAGGGCGGGGTATAAACCCAATCTCTTCTTCTTCTTTTACCTCACAGGGTGTCTGTTGTGGGGAGGGGAAGGGAAAGG